AACGCAAAACACCGAAGGTAAATTCCAGGGATAAACGGAGGTAGTATGTAGTACAGAAAGGCGCGTTACTAAAAAAAATGATCAGGGCGTTGAGTCTGGGGCCGGTACACGTCTAGGCTAACCACTCTTACGTTGCTCTGCAGCCCCCTAATTGCATTTGATTCGTCCGGGAGGGTAAAAGCATTAACTTGAATATCACTCGGCCCACAGCATAATAGTTATGCAATCACTGGTCGATGGCTTTTAAGGGAAGTCCAATGAGTAGACGCATCCCGAAAGCAGGATTGGGTAACGCCGAAGCTAATCTTCGGCTTTTACCTTGAGCTTATTTTTTTTACTTTTTAAAGTCTTGTTCGCTTCAGATTCGGTCGTTCACCGGTTTCCGTTACAAGTGTCAACGCTGCTCCAACTACCAACTTTGTCAGAATTGCTTCTGGAGGGGACGAACGAGTCAAAATCACTCTAATGAACACGAAATGAAGGAATACTCGAGCTACGTGAGTTTTTTCCTACCACATACTCGGTTGGCATTTGTAGAGATAAGGCTTTACAGAAATCCCCAACAAAACAGCTGGCCCATTCGATTCACAAGTCACTTCAATGCATTCCAACACCAAATGCCAAACAACCGCCACTCTTTGCCGAACGTCCACAACGACCACTTGAATTGCAAAATATCGTTCCCGCAACTCCTACAACGTTACGGTGCGTTTGATCTGAAGGGGTTTGTAGTGAATGTGTCCTGACTGATTGCTTCCTTCCGGAACGATCAATTCAATTACTGTGGCTCATTACTAGTACAATATCGCCCCACCTGTCTAAAAATCGCGAGAAAAAAAACGCGATTTCGCATCGTTTCGTGATTTTTTGAAAAATTAGGGAGGAGGGGTACTGTAGCTGAGTATTCACAAGTTGGATTTGTTTGTTTGTTATTTATACTTGTTGTTCTTAGCGATCGGCAACAAAATTCAATTCATTATGAATTGCAGCCTTATCCGAGTCATTTCAGAAGGGCTCCTCCCGATCCGATAACCGATTGGCCATCATCTCCAATTTTGTTGCCGGGGCAGGTTTCGAATGGAGGAGCACTGGATGACGAGCACAAACTGATCGCCCGATATTCAGCAAAGCTTAGCGGTCGTGCAGACGTTCGTTGTCTTCAAATAATTCTTGGCAAGCATGAGATGAAAATGATGTGATTTGTTGATCAACCACGATACCGTAATAATTACAGTATCCTCTTGGAAATGGACGAGATCGAGCAATGACACATCCAGTTGACGAAAGAACATTGATTGCTCGCTTGGAAGAGGAGAATTCCCATATGATGAGGGAGATTTCACGGTTAGAAAGTCAAGTAAGTAGCGTCAGGGTATCAGGAGTTTTGTCTGAAAGGCCAAGAATTTCAGGTGGTCCTCATCAAAATGTGCAAGAATTCTCAAGTGTTTTCAGACCTTATCAGATGACGGCCAACTTACTGGCTTACGCGAGCGAAAGTCACATTTGGAAGAAAAAATGTTTGTGATGCAACAAAAACGGCGAGATCTAATGATGCAATTGGAGCAGCTCATGACTCAGTTGAACGTAAGTTTGGTTCTATACCCACTCCTACTACTGCTACCGTATGCGCTTCCCGTTTTCCAGCTGCATCAGCTCATTCTTGGAAGCCTGTTGGGTTTTTGAGCGAATGGAAGGTACGTGGGCTCACCTCAGTAATTCGGATGGGAGATTAGTCTTTCACCAGAAAGCTGATATCCATCTGTGTCAGCTCATTCTTCGAACTCAGCTGGGTTTTAAAGGCACCGTTCACAAAAAAGTTAAGGTACCCTTTTTAGACGGGAATTGATAGAAATACTCTAGAATAAAGCGATAACAACGAAAAAAGCGCAAAAAACGATGAACAAAAAGAAATAGAAAGGGTCAAAAAAGAGCTGGAAAGGGGGTTGGACTAGTCTGACATTGAAATAACGGCGGTTAGGGAGTGTTCGGGCGAGAATGCACGAAGGCGACGCAATGTCTGCAATACAGACAACACACCCAAACAGCTGATCGGATTTCTCCCTGCTATTATTATCTCCCTGAAATACTTACCTCATCCATTCGACGACGGCAGGCAGGGACTACTTAGAAGTGAATAGCGCAGAATAATAGTAGAATAATAGAAATAACAGCTGAATACTAGCTCCTGTACGAGGCGGTCGACCAGCTGACCATTCCTGGTAATTTGCCAATCAGCGTATCGATTTTTCACCAACTTCGCTCCAAAGCGAATGTGGTGAAGGACAATTTGAACTCGTAGTCAGCCTGGCGATTGGCGGAGGCCTGACGTCCCCCACTGTTCCTGCCCTTATTGTGCCCTATCCAGCCGTTTTCCGACCTCATTCCTGCACAAATGGTATCAGAGAGGGCTTCGAATTCAAACCATGCGCAAATCTCCGAAACCATTTTTTCGTGAACAGTGCCTTTAAGTGTATAAAGATCCCTGCGGTCACCTAAGTTGTACGGATGGCAGATCAGTCTGTTAACAATAAATGTGCCTCGCTCAGCTCAAAAGTGGTACTTGAAGTAGTGAATTCGCTGGAATTCCGTTATGCAATGAAATTAAATATTAGTTATTTTATAACTGAAGACCCCAGCCAACCTTCTCATCGCCTTATCCTGAGTAGCAATGTGCCAGGATGTAACTACATAGATCCATGTCTTGGGAGGTTTCTTCTCTGCTATTCATAGCTGAGGTCCCCACCCAGTCTTCTCATCGAATGATCGCGAACATCGAGGTGCCTGGATGAAACTAGAGCCATGTCCTGAAAATTTTTTCTCTACTTTCTGACATTGTAGTTTTGCGCTGATGGGCTAAACGATCTGACAGCAGGTAACAGTTCCTTCACATAGCTAATAAGCACTACTCCGGAAGGACTCAGCTTCTTCCCTGTCCCCCCCCCCCACTTCGAAGTCAATACAAACTACATTTCGAATTTCAGGCGCCAGGCACAGCACCGTTCCCATCTGCCTCGATGTCACAAATACCAGAGTCACTTTCTGGCGTTAATACCAAAGTATCCAACGCATTCAGAGCTGGCAGTTTACCTGCGACAAGTCTTCAGGTTGGTGTAGAAGAAGACGATTCTGTAACAACTGTCTCCAATATGCTTTGGTTTCAGGGAGATCTGCTACATGCTGCTGATCAGATCACGTCGAATATGGGAGAATTTTTACGGGAACTTGACCAGGGTAAGTGATGTTTTTATATGATATACATAGTTAAGTCCATTTGTTCACCAAGAATTTGCTTTGGTGGTAGAGGTGCATCCGAGGGAGAGCGTATGCTTTATGTAAAAGTTGTTCACTGAGCAGTGTTCATAGAGGTTTGATTCTTTGCGTTGCGAATGGGGTGGAGGTTGCGATTAAAGGATGGAGTACGGTAATTTTGAGGTACTCTTCCTAGGTTGGAAAGCGGAAGTGTCGCTGTAGAGGAGTACATCGGTGGCGAAGAAAGCGAGAAAATCTGCCTAATTCAAGGCTTTTCAAAGGTAGCGGAAGTGGTGGCTGTACAACATCACCGTGTCGGGAATGGCATGTAAGGGGTGTATGGACGAGATTTACTTGCTCCCATTGCGCACAGAGATGACTAAATCAACAGAATTTGTCCAAAACTTCCTCTCGCTGTTGCCATGGGTTATGACGAGTTGAATGAACTTCCTACATGAAAGTCTCTTGAGTGCAGCCTCTTCAAAGGCTTTGAAACTTGTCCGCTATGGGTGTGGCATCTGCACCATGCAATCTCTGACCCCTTATTGTGCCCTACCCATGACGTTTTTCGATCTTATAACGGTGGGTATGGTATAAGGGGGGCCTCAAATCTACACCGTAGAGGAATCTTAGAAATCATTTTTATCGTGAGCTTTGTTTTTAAACACCTAGGGGAACGAAGGGCGGAAGTGCATCAGTGAAAGTAGTGCTCTCTGGAGGTAACAAGATATCGATGGATTAATGTTAGAGTGAATGCATTAGAACTTATAGAACGTAAGGAGTTTTCCTTGTCCCGTGTATCCTCGAGAACCACTGGCAGAGAAATGCGGTCTACTCCACAAGTTTTGTGGGGTTTGCTGGGTGGTGGTGTAGCCCACTTTCACTAATACACTGTCCGAGGATCAAATCCCGGCACTTGACCAACTAAGCCTACCATCCCTCCGAGGTCGATACCAAATCTGTGTGATAGGATAAAAGCACTGTCCGGTACATCGGCTGGTTGCCTCATTTCGTTGTATACGCTTTCAAAAAGCCACTACGATTCTGAATGGGAAGCGAATGCCTGGGCTCATCTCAAAAACGAGATTAAACAGTGTTGGAGAACGTTACTCTTTATGCTGTCATTAGGTTTTTCTTGCCTTGACGTGACCGACTGGTCGACTCTCAGTTCCATGTTCACCTTAACCGGGTTTCTCGCCTCTGAAGATTTATGCACGGATCACCTTAGGCCACTCCCATGATATCCCTAAGGAGGTTCACACACTGTAGCACAAGAGTTCGGAATATTGACACAAACAAAATGCTCGAAATTCAAAACTGTGCCTCCTTGGTCATTATTAACTAGATCCTTTTAGAAACAAGTGTCATAAACAGTTCTTCACTCATCCCCTACTCTTCTTGTCTCTTTTTTCCTTGGGAGGAGGCAATGTTCGGGAGCGTCGCGGCGCGCTTTGAGGTCGGAAGCGGTCCATACAAACTAGGCGTTCCTAGCTCCAAATAACGCTAGGTTAGCAATGGACGAGATTTGAATGATGTACAAACTGGATCAGCTGAGTCTTATAGGCCCTGCCTGAGTTGCTTCCAACTCAGATCTTCTTCAAGAATTGGATTATTGTTATGAAAAGTAATTAAAAGCAGGATGCGTAAAGTATTCAGGAATCCTAGTGAGGGTCATCAACCAGTAGCTTTTTGAAGACACTTTTTGCTTTTTATTCAATTTTTTCATTTTAGCACAAGCACAGGATAGCTCGACTATGCCAAATGGTCATTACAGTGAGCAGTTGTGATCAGAACTATCATGCTACCTTCTGTGAGAGCCAAGCAGATTTCCATGTTCTACAACTGCCTCGTTTTCAATTCTGTTATGATATTATAGCTTGGCTTACCTAATTGCTCGGCTTTTGTTACCTGTGAATTTTGTTGTTGCAGAGTATCAGTTGATATTTACCCAGTTACCCATGAATCTTCGTTATCTAGGTGAAAATTCTTCTCGACATTCTTTGCTGAACACCATCATCATTACGGGTATGTAGCTAGCGTATTTTCCGTGCATTTTTCCCAAGTCATATTAACTGCCATTAATTTCTGGTTATGAATTTGCTTCAATAAAAGCGTATCAACATCAGCCGAGTTGTTTCCAAGGGAATTCTTAAAAAGTAGATCTTTCCTATTCCCTTACTCCAAGCAGAAACGATGGCAGGGTGTGGTGCATTAGGAACGAAATGGTCGCGTCGCGGTGAGAGGGGCGTCGCGCGCGAAGGAATGTANCAGGATGCAGCGGTAGGTAAGAAATACAAGAACAAAAGTACTAATAGTAGAATTATGTATAAAATAATGATCGTATATCGATTGAGCTGTATGAAGAACGCTAGAGCTTTAATAAGGGCGAATAAGTGGTCCGCGACAGCCGAGTGCGGCGAATCGATTACCCAAAATCGTTCCTAACGCCCGTCTCCCACGACGGCATAGTACTTGCTGCCAGTTGATTACAGTACAGAACTAATCTAGAAAAAGCACCTGTATTAGCAGTGTAGTAAGGCGGAATCCAATGTAGTACAGTGTGATTATCCATCTTCGAAATCCTCTTTCCAAAAATGAAAAAACTAATTGTAAAGGAACGAATCTACAGCAAAACCTGTACCGCACCCTTTGCAAACGCTTTTGCCTTTCGGGAGTAATGGAACGTTTTCATTATACATTAGAGCCACCTTTTACCAGAGTAGGGTTTCTTGGAGGCGTCAAGTATCATCAAACCCCTCATATGCACCTGTTGATTTCACTCTTGTCAGTAAGCAAACAGGGCGTACAGGTGACATGTCTGTGTATCTTCCCACTGTAATCTAATTTGTTTGTCAACCGTGTGGCTGACGGTATTGTTTTGAAAATGCTAGGTGGTCAAAGGCGTTGAAGACACTTCGTAACAGCCGAGTGGAAAGTAATTGTCAGTGAACAAACGGATGGGATTATTCGAGATACCCAAATGTCACGTCTCACCTTTTACAGGAGTTTTGTAAGAATGTACGTGATGTCTAAGCAAGGTTGAACAAGCCTTTTCCCTTAGTCAGAGCTAATGTTTGCGTTTTCGACTGCATTCATATTAGGACCTGATCCTTTCTATCGTGCTCTCAAATGTCCGAAGGATCGTTTCAAATGAGAATAAAACCTGAGGTCCCGCAGACCAGCCTTACTAGTCACCGTAACCTCATCACCTCCTCAAAGACTCAGCACTCTTACTTGGATATAGGGGAATTCATCTTACTTTACTTACTTAAAGTTCTGATTTGTTTTGGGTGACATAGAGGTATGATAGTAATTTGTGCAATGATGAATTTGATGTTTGGAACAGTTCCTGAAGCAGACTGTTTCATTGCAGGTGTCTTATGCCACCTGATAACCACGTTTCGGTAGGCGTATATTCTCGAGTGAATTAGGGAATCCAACTTCTTCCTTTCTCAGTATTACAGTAAAACCGGCCTGACCCCTCTCCTTGTGAGAAGTGTCCCAGTCAAGTCGTGATGAGAATTCCCCCTTAAAGAAAGGGTGCAATAACACTTTTTCGATAAAAATGTCAATTCCAAGACCGGATTGGTTAAGGGAAGGCACTTTGCCCCGACGGAATCGAGTCGGATTGCTTTACTCAAATATTGATTTCACTTAATGTGATTAACGTACAAGAAACATGATTGCCATTTTAGAGGCTTTCGTTGTTATTAGAGGTTTTCCTTTACATCAAAGTTTTTGATCTCATGCATATTGAATATATGACCGTTCCGATTCTCTAGTGCCTAGCGATGTGAAATTTGTGCGGGATCTTCTTTGCTCTTCTTTTAGCACAAAAGACGTAATGTTCCACTTGCTTTTCCAAAGAACCTTTGGAAGAGCAGGGCTATCTCAAAGGGAAAATCGGTTTCAAGGGAAAAAAGTCGGATGACATTAGCGTAGTTGTTTCCCACGCCTTTAAGCTGCAGAAAGCTGCCTGAAGCTCGTTCAGAGCAAGTGGAAACTTTTGGATGATTGACATTATATGTATGTGGACAATGCTGCTCCACATCATAGCAAGAGACAGCCCACATATGGAAAGAAATCTGACCAGAATGGTACCGAACTACCGCACGATTTGTGTACACCGCGCACGGTAGGAAGCAGCTTGATTTAGAAATCAAAACCTTCGTACTCAGCAACTCTTGACTATATTACAGGGTGACTCACATGAAATGTGACTGGTAATAAAAAAATCAACTTATGCGCTTCTGGGTTATAGGATGGGATTATCCCTTGGGCGGAGAAGAACGCGATGAACGTCAGCTGAATAGTGCGCAGGAATGGGTACCAGCCCACAACGCAAGGAAGACGCTGCAATGTTGTGAAACCACTCTTCCGGGTTTTTGGGCGAAGCAAGTTTCACCTTCAAATTCCCCGATCTCAATCTTTCGGGTTTTGTGTATGGACAATTCTGGAGCAAAAAGCCTACGCTTTCAAACAAAGTTTTTGGACCCTCCGAAAAAGCCCTCTGGTTGAAGCGTGGTGATTGCGCGCATTCTCGAAAACTTCCGAAAGAGGTTGGATGCTTGCATCAAACGGAAAATGGTCATTCTGCATGTGAGATGTGATATGTTGTTTACAATTTTGTGGTGATTGTATAAGAGTAAATATTTCCTTTTTGGTTTGATTTGCTAAATTTTGATGCTGGTTTTCTGCGTCACACTTCATGTGGGTCACACTGTATAATTACTACGTAGGAACAGGTAGAACAGCTTTTAAAGTCTTGAATTTTTTGCTGCAACAGCACGATGTGAAGTGATAGAGCACGCTTCATAGCATCTTTCAGCTCTCAGAAACCATCCTTTACTGCAACAGTCATCATTGGTACCACTTTTTTTTAACAACATACGTATACACGTTGCCCCAGTGTTTATGATTTCGCATGAAAACACTACGTATAGAGCCGGTTTAAATGGTAAGACAACGTCGAAGCAAACAATGAAGATGA